GATTTTTCTGACCATGTTACATTTACATTAATCTAATAATCGTTGTTCCTAATTCCATACAGAACTAATGTTATACACACAGTACAGTCGAAGTTGGTGTGTAAGTGCGGCATAAGAGAATTCATCATCACATTTTGTCCCGTGAGTTTCGTAAGAGGCGACTATGGGTTTGCCAGAAAATCTGATGGCTTCCTACAGATGCCGGTATAACCACCTCGTTTACTGCAGATGTAAAATATCCAGACCGACGCCAGGCGACGATGAACATCGCTCACTGAAGATAACGTGAAAAGATTCGAAGATGTCGTATTAGCAGATCGAAGAGTGATCATCAGGCATATAGCTGAGGTCACAGGTATCTCATATGGCAGTGTTCAAAGAATCCTTGCAAAAGGATTGCATATGAAAAAGGTATCTGCGCGTTGAGTACCGAGAATGTTAACCGACGAGCAAAAGAAAAAAATTAGTCGACATATCGAGGGTTAATCTCGAAAGGTTCCAAGCAGATCAGATTTTTTCTATTATGTTTCGTGACCATATTCTCTACCATTTCGATTCTGAAATCAAACAACAATCAATGGTTTGGAACCGAGCCTCTTCCAGACGTCAAAGAAATTCAACGTGCCAAGTTCGGCGGGAAAGGTTATGGCGTCCGTTTTAGGAATTATTATGGTGGAATATTTGGAAAAGGGAGCCATTATTTCGGGGTAATACTCTCGACTACGCAGGCCAAATAAGAAGATTGCAGGAGGCTATTAAAGAAAAAGACGCGGCAAATTACGAGCTGGAGTGCTGTTTCACCAAGACAACGCTCCATTCAAGAAACGGGATTTGAACTGTTCGAACACCCACCCTATTCGCCAGATCTAGCTCCCAGTGACTTCTATCTATTTCCTCGGCTCAAGGAACACCTTCGGGGCAAGAAATTTGCAGACGATAGCAAAGTGATGGACGCTGTTGAGGCTTTTTTGAAGGATCAACATAAAGATTTTTTTTTTCTAAGTAAATTCTGGGATTAGAACAAAAATGGACTAAATGCATTGACTTGTTAGGAGACTATGTGGAAAAATAAATTATTTTTTTAACAATAATCACCGTGTTTAATATTCACTATCAATAATTGCTTTTGGATCACCCGTCGTACTCACATCCTAAAAATAAAACCAAAGCGAAAAGTTGACTTAAATCGAAAAGGATGTTAAAAACGGCATAGGTGGCTTCGCCCGCGTAGTAAGGCAAGACAAAAAGATTAAATTAATCAGACGTTACATTGCGAAAATCCATTATATTAAAAACTAGCTGATAACCGCTCGCTTCTCTGGGCGCAAGACTTTATTGCGGAACCTAGATGTGACTAAATTAATTAAATATTTAAAGAATAAAATTTTGTATGTATAGTACATCTCCAACTACTTGATGCAAGAGAAAGATGAACTTGATTCCATACAAGCTTGTGCCCGGCGTAAACAAACTTAAAATATGTCTTAGTTTGAAGATTTACATTTACTACTTATACAAAGTAACGACGAAGTTATCACGTTAAATGCAAAGACGTATCCTACACAAAGTTCCTTAAACATACACAATTAAAAAACGATATGCGTTTAAATTAAAAAAAAATTCGCCGTGAAGGCGAATATACCTAGTTCAAACGTTGCCAATTCGAGTTAGTCAAATAAAGTAATAAATTAAGCAAAAAATGTACTTATGGCTAACAATATAAGGCATAATTCTTATGCGCGAAATTAAAAACTAAGAGACCGCGCGCTGCGGGTGTCTGAAAACAAATTCAAGCGAAAAATTTACTTAAAATGGACAACTTAAGGCATAATTCTCTATGCGCGATGTGACAGGAATTGGGACAGGATGTCGGGAGGGTGCGTGTTGTCGACTGGCGCGTGTGACGATAAAGTAAGACAGTCAGACACTTAGTCCGACACCGGCTTCCTTGGGGATGGTTCATGAGTTGCTTGACCTAATTTTAGTTTTTCGCGTAGACGTCCTTTGAATTTAAAGCTTTAATTGTTGGTTTTTTTTTTTTATTTTGTGGATATTTTCATAAGTTTCTTGATTTGTTTGTGATAGCACACGTTAATACTATAATAATAATTGTGTTAAGAAGGTGGTGTGACTGTCTGTGCGAAATTGGACGCCTTCTTTTACTGTATTGTATTTTTTTATTTGTGATAGGGCACGTTCATAATAAATAGTCATATTTAATAACTTAGTAGTGTGACAGCCCGTGCGCAATTGGATGCTTTTACTTTTTTAACGTATAACTTTTTTTAAGTTTTAAAATGCCTCGTATCAATTTTACGTCATTGGAATACACCGATATGGTTTTGATTTACGGAAAATGCCACCAAAACGCGTCCCTGGCATTACAAACATACCGAGAGAGGTATAATACCACACGTGTATGTCCTATAGACTCACGGATTTTTATACGGGCAGTCAAAAGATTACGTGACGGCGAACATTTGATCCCGCGTCAGGTTGAAATTCCTCCGCGAGTCGCCGTGGCTCAGGAAGAACAAATATTAAATTATTTCGCTCGTAATCCAACGTCAAGTCTCCGTAGAGCAGCTCGCCAATTTTGTGCACACCGCAAGTCTGTTCACAGAATATTAAAAAAAAACAAGCAACGGCCGTTCACATACGTAAAGGTAAAGGCTTTATTAGAAAGAGATAAGCCAGTCAGGGAAGCCTACTGCGAATAGCTCCTGAGCAAAGTAGCTAATGACTCTAACTTTTTAGCAAACGTAATGTGGACTGACGAGAGCACATTCACGCGCAACGGCATATGGAATCGGCAGAACTTACGATACTGGAATCAAGAAAATCCGCAACTGTGTCGAGAGTCTGTGCACCAATATAGATTTGCCGTTAATATTTGGGCTGGAATACACGGAGATCACATAATTGATCCCGTGTTTATCGAAGGCAACCTTAATGGACCAAAATTTTTGGAACTGCTTGACGGCGCAGTGGCGGATTACTATCGTTGGGGGCCAATAGCCAGTTGTGGTATCAGTTTGATGGAGCACCTACTAATTCAGTGGTGGCTGCCAGGCAGCGCCTCACTGAGATGTTCGGAGAGAAATGAATTAGCCGATACGGACTTTCTCGGTGGCCAGCACGGTCTCCGGATCTAACACCGTTAGATTTCTTTTTATGGGGTTACATAAAAAATGAGGTGTACTCTACTGAAGTAACGACTGTCGAGGACTTAAAAATAAGAATAATGCGGGTTTTCGACAAAATAAAAAAAATTTGCAGCCAATGGAGACCTACTTCGAAAAGTCCGAAATAATATCATGCGACGATGTCAATTATGCATTCGGGTACACGGCGGACATTTTGAAAATTTAAAAAATTGATTTGATTAATAAAATTGAGTGATTTCAAGATTAGAGATTATTTGGATAAAAAAATACCATGAAATTTGAGATTTATTGATAACATCGGATTAGCATCGCCCTACGCGTGCCTAATTACCTTTGTATGGGCAAGTGTAGGTATTATAATAGGGTATTACACCCACTTTCAAAAAGTGTTTTAAATGAATCCTATAGTGATAATGAACCACTATAATTTTTATATAAGTTTTTTAAAACCGAATAGTGACATACAAATTACTTTCAATGTATCATTTTAAATTTTCGCGTGAAAACGCTAGCCGCCTTACTGTTCAACTCATGACGTCACTGTCCTAGAATTTTGACAATTTTGCAAAAGAATAAGATACTTTTGAATGTTTAATAATGAGTTATCTCTTTAATATATCATTGTTGTGTTGTGCCTGATTGCAAAAATACGAGCATAAGAACGCCGGGGAAGTTATGGTTTAAGGGCCAATTAATTTAAATATGAGAAATACTTGGTTAAAACTGGCAAGAAGAGACCTGAAGGCATTGCCTACAAAATCTAAACTACTTCTGTGAAGATCACTTTGATGTAAGTATGACTTATATTTAACTATCGATTAAACAAAACAAAACATCATGACATGATAGGTACCTATTACAAGTCAAATTTTGTAATAGATTAGGTTAATCGCTCGTCTGTCCCGCCCTTTGTGGGCCATTTTGATAGCCCTTGCAAGTGCAGTGCCAGTGTTTTACTTAATTCCTGTTTTCTTCTATTATATGGGAATAAAGACATGGGGTTTTGTTTTTATTTTATGTTTTATGATTTGTAAGTTATGTAGAGTAAATCACTCGTTCTTGTGATAAGTTGTTTGAATAAATTGAAAAGAACACAAAATAATTCAGTTTTGTAGTTATTATTAAATAAAGTAAAATAAAACTCAACCTTTTTAATTGTTTAACTATTTTCTGCAATTATCAATAAAATGTTATCTGAAAAAACACCCAGAGGCTGTACTTTGTCTGTTCTATTCCTCTCAAAACTTATTACAACATTATTTTCATTATGTGGGCGCAACAAACTACTGTCCTGTGATCCGAGAGAAAATCCAAAGGTCAAGTTAAATAAATCCACGAAAGTAAAAACACGAAATATATTTAAAAAAAACAGCTAAAATGCCAAATGCGCATGCCGCATGACAAGCTGAAACTTGAAGTTAGCAAGTTAAGTCTCCTTCGGAATATGCAATGGTTAATGACCGTGCAGCCTAATCAGTCGTTAGTTAATATTCAAATATTTTTTTAGTTTAATGACATAGCCTATTCAATCGTTTTCTAAATATATTACATTATTCAATTCAATAATAATCACTGTAGATTCGCGTCAATGCGAAACATTTTAAAAAAAAAGATATTTAAAAACGTTTCGTTTTTTCTAAAGTAAAAGCATAAATTTTTTCAGTTTTAAAAAAAAATGTTTTTATCACTGTCCCAAGCATTACAGAGATAAAAACCATTTATTTATTTTATAATTTATCATTTTATTACCTTCATATTTTTGTATGCTGTTAAAAACGATATCAAGCACCCAATTTCATACATCGCCTTTGTGGTGATTTTTTTTTATTTTTTGATAGAGGTTTTTTAACATAAATTCATTTACCTATGTCATTGTTATCTTTTTTACTATTTGAAACGAATGCAATGAGTGGCAAGTCGTTCTCCGAATCTGTATGTCTATCTTCAAAAGCATCAATCTTCAAATCTTCTTGTTTATCAGCACTCTCTAGAATGAAACAGATTCTGATTCAATATATAAAATAATTACTGATATTTTTTTCAAGCGACTAGATCATTACAGTCCACCACAAAGCTTATGGGCCTAAGCCATCCACTTTCATAACCACACTGCATGTTTCATACGCTAAGTGTAATAAGCTAAAGTGAAAATGGGCCGAAGAACTGACAACCGACAGGGCAAAAAGGTTTTCAAAAAGGCAGCCTCGAGACGAAGTGTAAGGCCCCCCACTAGATGGAGTGAAGACCTGGTAAGACATGCAGGAAGTCGATGGATGCAGGTGGCTAAGGCCCGTAATTTGTGGCATTCCTAAAGAAATTGGCAAAGACAGGTTGCTTACCAGTTGTAAGTATATCATTAATTCCTATGAAATTAATCCATCTTAGTCACATACATACTGGCTGCATTTATACAGGGTAAAAATATTTTTAAAATATATTAATACATACGTAAAAAAAAAATGTCGAAAGATGCTCATTATTTTACATTGACAATTATTTATTAATTTAAACTAACGACTATCATGACAGGAATAACCTAATGCGACAGTGTAGTTCTTTTCATGCATAACAAAAATGTGGTCATTAACTATAACAAATTGTAAACAGTCTTACCCTAGTGAATTCACTCAAGGTGCAACAGAATAGCTCAATGTCTTCAGCTATTCTATTAAGAATGCGTTATGTTCGCGTTAAAGGCACCTTGTCGAGTAAATTGGTACCCGTCTGGAACACATGGCCCAATCCGCCCCAATATGTCACTATAATATTATTTTGTGTCCATGGACTTCAGTAACCACTTGCCATTATGTAACTTGTAGCTTATTTTAATAATATCACAAAATGTGCATATCTTACCTGTTTCATGATTCCCATTTTCTTCAAAATTGGAATTCTCATTTTCGAAATTCTCTTCGTCAACTTTAACAGATGCAAGGCTAAACATTTCGTCCTTACAATCATTTTCTACATCACACTCTACTGGCCTGATATCTATATGACTAATTGGTGTGAATTGAATTTTATATCTAGCCTCATGTGGTTTTGGTATTAACTGAAACCAAATTATTTTCTTAAATAAGAGATAAAGCCAGTGTAGTGGTGCCGTAAGAGAATCCATACTACCATACCATCCCGCAGATGTCGTAAAAAGGGACAGAGGGAAACTGAAACAAGAGATGGGCAGCAGCATCTTCCTGACAACTCCAAAAATAAAAAATAAACTAGACAAAGTGAGGGTTCTGAATAAACTTACATAAGAATGTATATAGTTCATCCATCCTGAGTATAGAGTCTCAACAATAGGTACTTCCAATCGGATTCACGAATGCCGTAAATTGACAAACATCTATCTTTGTTTACTGAGTAATATTACATATAGATAATATTTCGTTTATATACCATAGAGTATTATATAACAACATAAACATTTAGCTAATTACTTTTGTAAAATATATTTTAGTAAAAATAAAAACTTACTGTAATTCGTAAAATATAGAACATTGCTCTAACGAAAAAGTAAGTTATATTGAAGGATAAACTTAACTTTACAGTAGAAAAAACATATGGCACGGGAAGCAGCATAGAAGGCGCGAGACAGGTAGCGACCATCAAGGTGCTTGCCAAGTGATGATTAAGGCAAATACTTCATTATAATGGGAACGAACCATCAAGCAGTGAACTTTTATTAATAAGAAGTATAATACCGTGGGCCGTGTAGTGGCGGTGTAAGAATATCCACCAGCCTATATATCTACCCACGGGACGGGTGTCGCAAGAGGCGACAGAGGGAAATCAGAAACAGGAGTTGGGCGGCAGCATCTTCCTCATAACAACCCAGACTAAAATACGAGGGGTACACTGAAATGATCGGGAATAAGAAAAACCACATGCACGGTATAGCTAAATTGTATTTTATTGCTTTTCGAAGTATTCTACGTCTTAATGCACTTTTTCATTCGTGCAAACCAATCATTAAAACAGTAATTCCAGTCTGAAGTTGATGTTGACAAAATGGCTTATTTGTACGCCTCCACAGCTGCTTCGGGGTCTTCAAACCGTTGACCGCGTAGTAAATCTTTCCTTCTAGGGAATGTAAAGAAATCGTTTGGGCTCAGGTCAGGAATGTACGGAGGATGGCTCATCAGCTTAACGTCATGGAGCTCGCATTATCGTGATGTAAGATGATGCGACGTTTCGGGTTATTTTTTCGGAGTTCGGCTATCATTTCTGGCAAACAAACCGTGATATACCACACAGCGGTAACCGTTCTGCGTTCCTTTAAAGGAATTGTAACAACATGCCCCTTTTTCGAGACAAACGTAGCGACCATTTTCTTTGACACGCTGCGGGAGCGAACCACTTTCGATGGTTTGACCTCGTCTTCGAAGACCTATACTGCTGACTGGTGTTTTCTTTCAGGTTCGGTATGAATAAATCCATAATTCGTCACCTGAGACAATATTATAAACGGCATTTGACTTCCCTCCGTTGAAGCGTTGCAGAGTATTCCGGCACCAATCTACACGAGCCGCCTTTTGCTCTTCGGACAAATTGTGGGGAACCCAGCGGGAAACTAGTTTTCTTACACACAGGTCATTACGTAATATCGACTGAATTGCAGTCATTACGATACTTATAACAGCCCGAATCTGCTCTTATTTCATATGACGGTCATCTAATATAATAGTTCGCACAGCTGCGATGTTTTCAGGCGTGACCGCTGTTCTTGGTCGACCTGCAGAAGAAACAGTGCTGAGCGACACACGACCGCGTCGGAACTCGGCATACTAGCGGTATATTGTCGTTCGACTCGGTGCTTCAACATCATAAATCGAAACAAGTTTGCTGAGACATTTATCTTGAGATAAGCCGCGACGAAAATTGTGATAAATTATGGCACGGAAATGTTCACGCGTGAGCTCCATTTCTGTTAACGACGTGTCAACTTTAAACCAACGTAGTTTTTGTTTTTAAACTTTTTTTAATTGTTTGAATGTCATTGAGATTCTTAGAGGCCGGTATTCAAATTCTAAAAAGGTTTTATTGTAACTCAATCTGAAATATTCTATTCCCAAACATTTCAGTGTGCCCCTGCGTAAACTGTGGTTACCAACCTCCCAAGTGTGGCAAATTGAGCATAACCGCTCCTAGATGAAGTAATCTAAGAGGGACTTTTATAGGTTTTAATGGATGGAACGGATAATACCATGGATCCTCCTGCAAGCAACTGCTCCAGAATTGCATTTGACTCAATAGCCTGTTGTTGTAATGTTAAGCAACGAATTAGTCTTGCATGACAGGTGAAACAGACAATTATGGGCTCCTCATCCTCATCCATCTGAAAATATGAAACTTCATCATAAATATGGAAAAGTACTTAAATACACAAGTTTGTAATAAAATCTATTGGCTACCACAATTATCTTCATCGACATCACTTTTTTACAACATTGAAGTGACAAATAAACTTACAATCCACGATGGTAAGTGGCAACTGCAGCCCATAGGCACCTGCAACGAACTTCAAGCAAAGGCTACAAATGCGATGTTACCTCTGAGGACTAAGATGTAATGCTTCACAGCCTGTTATTATACTGGCTCTCAATGTCCTTCACACCGAGACACATACTGCTGCTGGTGGCAGAAATAGGCAAGAGGATGATAACTATCCAGATAGACTCCTAGACAAAAAACAGTTGTACCACCTTGTGAATCATCATCACTGCAAAAATACAGTCCTAAGCCACCTACATGCATCGACTACCAGTGTTGCCAGATTGCCACAATCCAATGGGGGGCCACTCAACAATTTGCTTGCCAGTATGAGGCTTTCAAAACTCAATCTTACTAAACCTACTTTCAGTTTTTAACTACTAACATCACTATTAACATTACAAATACTTCTCTTACGCTCCAAGTAAACTGAAAATGCTTACACAATACAACAATAGACAAATGGCAGATTTGAACTTAATACTTTCTTGAGTTTGCAGTTTACACCCGTAACTATTAGGCCATTGTCACTTAGTTTCAAATGGAAGTTAGTAACAATATACATCCCCTAGCAGTTTTAAACTTTTTAATTTAATATAAAATACAGTATGAAGTAAATTCCAGGTGGGTTTGGTCATCTAACAATTAGATTATTTTATCTCATAAGAATATATGCAGCAGCATTTTTCTCATAACAGGTCAGACTAATAAAAAAACTGCAGTCGCCAACCAGCCTGCCTAGCGTGGCAACTATGGCAAATAATAATAATAATACCAGAAAAGATACTAAAATCATATAAAAAATATTTTCAATTTATTTTGGAATATACATTCCAATTTATATTGAGTGGCTAAAGAAGCTCTTATACGTGGTAGAGCCATGCTGCAGCTATATTAGTAAGATAGTTGTAACACAAATGAGTCGGCTCAACCGGGGAAGGACCACACTCTCACAGAATACCAGCGTAAAATAGCAGCTTATCACTGCTGTGTTTCACATGGTGAGTGTACAGAACCGGAGACCCTTTTTACTGGAAATGAGGCATTCCATCTTAGTCCTCAGTCCTCATGGGTGACTCTCTCTGCATTTTGATTTTTAATAGTAGATAGATGTAGATGTCTATGGGCCGCAGCAACCACTTACCATCAGGTGCACTGTGTGCTCGTTTGTCACTCTTATCCTATAAAAAAAACCGGCAAAGTGCGAGTCGGACTCGCGCACTGAGGGTTTCGAACAAATCCATAGGTAAATAAATTATTAAAAATATTTTTATTATATGAAGTAACTAAAAATTTATGCTTTTCGCAATTTTTCCTTTATCTGTGCTATAATACGTTGCTTCGTACCAAATTTTAATGAAATTTGAATGTCGAAAATTCGCAGCATAAACGGCTGTATCTTTTGATTGCGTTGGCATAGAAGTTTGATTTTTTTCAGCTCTAAGGGACAATAAACTTGAGTATTTGATATAAATTTCAGCTTGATACCTTCACGCGTTTCTGAGAAAAAGGGTCTTGACAGACAGACATACGGACAACAAAGTGATCCTATAAGGGTTCTGTTTTTTCCTTTTGAGGTACGGAACCCTAAAAAGCACCTTGTTCACTGTACACACCAACCTTTTAGAACTGTAACATTAACAGTACCTATATTTTAACAACAGTAAAAATGGTCCCAGTTTTTGCAGCTTTTTTTCTGTTTTGTGTTCAAAACATTCCCGCAAGCCGAGACGAGCTGAGTTAGCATTTCGGAACTCGGACAACAAAGTGATCCTATAAGGGTTCCATTTTCCTTTTGAGGTACGGAACCCTAAAAAGCTTCAACACACATATTCAAAAGTTTCTAGAGCATTGAAAACATAGTATATGATGAAAGTCTGAAAGCACTTAAACTTACAACTCTAAAAGACCACAGAGAATGAGGACACTTGATTGAAACATATAAAATAATATATAAACACTATGATCTACAAAATTTTGACAATTATTATTCCAGTACTTACACAACACAGACCTTAAGGACATCACTTCAAATTGATTAAAGTGGTGACACCTAATAACTCATGTATTTTAACTAAAGAGTGGTTGAAGTATGGAACAAGCTGCCAGGAAGTGATATCAGCACAAACCATAAACCAATTTAATAACATATTGGATAAATAAATAAAATAGAACACACATACAGACTTGAAACCAGGATACAGGCTTATATCGAAATTTGTTTTTATACATTAAAGGTAACATCTGATCACACAGTCCACCTGATGGTAAGTGACCACCCATAGACATCTACAATTTATCCCCAATTAAGGATCAAAACAAAGATGTGCTGTCACCTCTGAGGACCAAGACGGAACACCTCACACTCTACACTACACACAACATTCTCTACACTCACCATACTAATCAGAGCAGAATTAAGCTGCTATTTCAAACTGGTATTCTGTTTGGTCCATGGTACCAACCCGGTACAGCCGACCCACCTGTGACACATAGATATATAGCTACAGCATGACAATAATAATGTCCTACGGACAGAATTACAATCACAATAGAGACTATTTATTAGCGCAGGGCAGGATTATATTGCATGTGTGTGTAAGCAAGCACATGTGCAAATTATTCCCTTCTCAGACTTGTCTTTAGGAATATGAGAAATATGAGAGTGACGGAATTTTTGTGTCTGTAAGCACATGTGCACTCTAATCTCCCACTTTAATAGTCTGATAGAATGGCTTTTAGTGAGTGGAAGACCAAACCAGAGAGGATGTCAATTTCTTGACATAGGTAACATTGCAGTAATACTCAGTAATATGTACAAGAACAGACACCGCGAAAAATTCTATGCAGCAGTGCGGGTCGCGTGGAAGAAACAGAAACAGTTAAGCCCGCTGGCTCCACCGCGTCTTGCAAACAACCAAGTCTCTTCTAGTATGTAGTAAGATTTCAGGCTAATTATTGATTTTCAGGTTCTGGTTGCACTTATATTTAACGATGCACCTTAGCCTAGCCCCGATCTATCGCATTTTATATCAGACAAGTTATAATATATTTCTCCGGCGATAACAACAAATTACTGCAACTTCAATTTGCAATATTAAGAAATATTAACAAACTTACAAAACTGTTGGTCAATGTTTTGTACAAATTTCGGAGACTAGTCTTCTTTAGTACAAACATGCGAACATTAACGCATAAACAAATTCTACAAACTTCACTAAAGGCCATTCCTGTTTCCTATAGCTTTAATAAAATTGAATTCACTTTTTTATCAATAAACCGGAGTTTTCCAAAATATTAAAATGCATTTTTTTTAAAATTGGCTTTACGGCTCTGGGTATTAGCTTCCCTATATATAATGTACTCTGTGGTATTAGCCCTTCTGAGTAGGCGTGTGTATCTCTTTACGGAAACGACTCACTGATGATACGAATCACTGAAGTGACACAAAAGATTGGTTCAGTAACATAAAGTATCATAACTCTAAACTTTATGATGAAAAGGAAGATAGTAAAGTCACAATAATCACTACGCAAAGAAATCCTAAACATAACTCAGTATGTTTTCGTAAACAGACGCTAATGAATATAAAGAATTTGACAAGTACCGTATCAACGTAAAATGACAACTTTTTAATAAAACGTTACATATAAAAAACGACCGTATAGTATTTGACACATAAGCGCCTTAGTGGTAATTTTTACGTGCATGAATAACGTCAGCGAAAATCCGTACGAGTTGAGTGATACACTTCTTATTTGTTATCTCTATCTGACTTGTGTGAACTATAATTATTTCGCCCGCTCACTCGCCACTCGTGAGTCAATAGTTAAGTTAATCATTGTCTCAGTCTCTCTCTCTCGCTCGTTGCTCAGTCGCCTCGCAAGCGACGCGTCGCGCGAAATGAGCAAAGAGCAAAGTAATGTTTCACTGTTCCAGATACAAATGATTCATTTGAAACGTAATTCTGTGTACATAGACATTGCTGTTTTGTGTAAATGGACATTTTTGTAAATAATGAATTGGACATAGTGACATTTGTGTTAAAGTATGAAGGAGAATCGATTTTATATACAATCTTATTACGGTACACAATAAATAATCTAAGCACTTATTTTTTTTTTATTATTATTATACCGCATTGTTGCCACATAACATTTCACGGATCAGTCAGTAATAAACGCCCGCGACGCAGCTTAATGTATTCGGAACATTCTTTCTTTTATATTTTTTGAGTCGATGATACAAATGAGCCAAATGAAACATATCAGTGTTTCGGAACATTTCAGTGATCAAGATGCAAATGTTCCAATCCCAAAAATGATACACTTTGCCCACCTCCACTTCTGTGATTGCGTTGAAGAGTGCTGCTTGATTCGATGACGAGTAACGTCGAGTCCGTGATAAAAAATAGTTTAAAATTGTAAAACCAGTGATATTCTTACTTTAGTGTACCAAAAACTGTAAATAAACATCCAAAGTTATAGTGACAGTGTTATTTCCGCAATTGTGATCTATTTACACATAAAAACAACAATTTCAGAAATATTTTCATTCTGCTACAAGTTCTAGTGAAAGTAATAAGAACTAAACAAGAAAGTATAAACACAGTGAACACAGTGAAATGTGATCGTATACAGTGACAAAAAACATTACCATATTCACAAAATAATAAAAAATAATATCAGTGATTAACATCGACTAAGCAATAAATTTTTGCAGCATGAATCATAATAACGATCTCGGTACATTTTAAATAACAGTAAGCAGCAACTACTCGAAAATTTCAATACTTTAAGCAAAAGTCATCCTGGTGTGGTGGCATGTGCCTATGAACACTTGTACCGCACGAGAGATCGTGAGTTCGTATCGCAGCATTTAGCGGATCTTTTTCATAATTTATGTTGAAAGTTATTTCGACATCAAATTTACGTATTTATTCCTAACTTCTTATTCAATATCTATAATAATAATTAAAAAAGAAGAACTAGAACTGGAGGCTTAAATGTCATATAGTCCTACTCATTCAATTGATATCTGAATTTGTATTTCTATTAAGATTCTAATTGATATTTAAATAGTGCTTAATTGGATTATCCCCAATACTCTTTAAACAACTTTAAATTTATAAAAAATCGTAATGCCACTCACACGCAGCATGTCTGCTGCACGCCGTGATGAGGCTAAACTAGATAATATCTTGAGAAAACTTGATCTGACTTTGAAGGAATTGGATGCATCCAAAACGCTGGTTGAACAGTTGCACAAAGAAAGAGAGGACAATGAGAAGGAACTACTGGATAGTTTAAATAAACACGATTTATTAAAAAAGCAGATGGCTGATCTGCACACAGAACATAGGTTAGTGTTAGATGAGCGGGACAGATTGTATAATGTTGTGGCTGGGTTTAGGGAGTGCAGCGATGAGTACGAGCAGGGCCTCAAGCGCATGTCAATCTTAGAGCAGGAACTGCAAGAAGCTCACCACCACATTAACAACCTTGAGGCTGAAAAACGTGACACTATAGTATCCCATACCCATAACTTGTTTGAGGAATTAGTCGGTAGTGTGCCCAGTCTTGTTTCTACTGAACCTAACTTGGAACCCACTATTACTATAGATTTAACAAAGGATGATACTTTTATAGCTCATAATTCTTATCCTAAGATGGGCAGAGTTGAGTGCAGTAGAAATAAACTTAAGAAATATGTAAAAATTAATAGATACATAAGAAAAACTCAAAATTTGATTAAAAGGCAAAAATGTATGCATAAAAAAGTAAAATATATTAATGAGAGAAGGCAATTAGGTGATGAACTTGATATGTATTCTTTAATAATTGAAAATAACATATCTGAGTACAATAGTAACATATTAATGTTAGAAACGGAGATCAATAATTTAAAGAATTCGCTAGACATAATGACCAACAAATATTGTAATGTTAAAAGTGAGTATCAGGAATACATTCTGGCCATGAAGGATCTGATGAGAACAAATTCTATATTGGCATCAAAAGACAATTTACTCAGTCCTCAGCCAGTTTGTAAGTCCTCGCTAACTTCACACAAAAGTCCTTCACATGAGCCAAATAAGAAACCCAGTAGCTCCTTCACCGAACAAACTAATAAACAAAATAATGTACAATCTCAAATAGTGATGTTTTGTGATGAATTGGGGGAATCAATGGGCCAGCTATTAAGTTCATATTTAGAACACAAAGTAATTAACTATTGTATGCCGGGCTTAAGTTACTGTACCATTATTGAAAAAATTAAGAATCATAGTTTAAACAGCAGCGGTACACTTTTAATTTTAGTGGGAGACAGGGGAAATGCAGACAGAAATGCTCTTATGAATTGTTTTGAATCATTGAGCTTATTAAATGTTAAAAATATAATTTTATTCACACTTCCATATAGCCGTAGTTTGTCACAGGCAGAAAACAATATTAGATATAAGCTCAATCAAACATTACATACATTGACATTTCATAATTCAAATAAATTTCATTTAATTGACATAAACTTATATTTAAAAAATAAATTATTATTGACAAAAGATAAATTCTATTTGAATAGATATTTTAAGAGACAGATAGCATCTTCGCTATCATATTATATTAAATACTCCGCCAAGAATTTGGCTAACCAACCTGCTTTTATTGAGCAGATAAATGACAATGTTTGTCTTGCGACCTTGGAATCTGTTCCAAATAAGAGTGACAGTCATTTAAATTTAATTCTAAGACAATAGAGGAAATCTCTAGCAATTTAATTTTAGGGACAAAGGAAAAGTCTATGTTCATGAATATTATTCATCAAAATATTGAGGGCTTTTCTGGCAAAGAGTTAGAACTAGAATTATTTTTAAATATAATGCATATTCATGTACTTTGTGTAACTGAACACTGGTTAAAAAAACATGAACTTTTAATTAATATTGACAATTATAAAATCATTAGTTCGTTTACTAGAGATACCGCTATAAGAGGTGGGTCACTAATTTTAATTAATGACAAATTAAAATCTAAAGAAAGAAAAGATATTGTAGCACTCTCAAGTGAGCGAAATATTGAAATATCATGTGCAGAGCTTGATCAATATATTATTATTAGCGTCTATCGGCCTCCTTCCGGAGATTGCCACCTATTTGAATCTATTATGGAAGAAACCCTAAAAAAGGCATGTAAATTTAAGAAGAGGGTAGTTGTATGTGGCGATTTTAATGTTGATATCTTAGAAAACTCCCAGAATGCGTTAAGGTTCCTCAATCTTTTTAAATCTTTTAACTTGCAAAATCTTTTTTGTGAACCAACTCGCACCACATCCACAACAGCTACCTGCTTGGATAATATTTTTACTGACAGCGATGTAAACGACAAATCTATAATAAAGTTCATAAAATCAGATCATGTAGGTCAGTTAGCTAGATTTCAGCACCAACATGTTCCATTGCCTAAAAATATTGTATGTAGACCAATCACAACATATCGTTTAGAAAAATTTAAAGAAAATATTAACAATAAGGTACCTCTTTTGGAGCCAAATACTGCTGATAACCCGAATGATCTATACGGAGATTTGTTCGGAGTAATCAAATACGAATTTAATAACATTTTCACAAAAAAAACAATTAATACTAATCAACTCAAAATTAAATTTAGTGATTGGGCTACACCTGGAATTTATAAGAGTAGAAAGAATTTGTACGAATTATACGAGACAAAGGCATGTACAAATGATCCACAAATCATTGAACATACTAAAAAGTACTCAAAAATGTTTAAGAAAATCTGTTCAATGGCCAAATCTAATTATATCCGGGCCAAAATACAAAAATCTGATAACAAAATTAAGGCAACATGGAATGTTATCAACAAAGAAACCTGTAAAACAAGGTCACGTGATCGATCCTTCGAATTAGAAATAGATGATAAACACATAAATACTGATGCTGAAGTGGCCATTGCATTTGAATCTTTTTTCACAAATGCTCCAATTACCACTACTAGTAAACTAAAATCTTCAAAAACCGAAGCTGCTTCTCTTCTTGAATCTTGCGTTGATAAATGTAGTGTTAACTTTGATTTTCAGTATATTGACACCGCAACCGTACTTAAAACTTTTAAGCAACTAAATATAAAAAAGACTGAGGATCTTTGGGGCATTTCAACCAATATAATAAAATCAGTAATGCCCGCTATTGCCCCTTATCTTGCATTCATATTTAACCAATGTATCGATGTATGATTTCCCACACTCATGAAGTACAGTAAAATCATTCCATT